GCATCAACTCCCTACAATAAAAGAGGCATATTAAAAACTCACTAGGGATTATTGTTTTGATATTGGAAAACCCTCCAATTGATCATCTCTATATGTACGAATATGAAAAAAGGGAAAGATTTCAAGTTTTTAAAATATTGTCTCTTGTAATACATTATCTAGACCATCCATTTTCATAAACTTTTAGTGTTTACAAATATGTCTATCTGCACTATTTTAAAGATCTTTAAATTTTGTACTTAGGGATGAAAATAGATTCTCAAATCATAAGGGTTTATGAAATCAGTACCACATCTTCCAAAAGCATTTGAATATGCAATTTACTTTTAAGGGAAAATTACAAAAAACCCTCAAGACCACACTTTACTTACCTCCAACCAAAGTTTTTCTCTCACTTTTTTCCAAACAATACACTTTCTATGCAAATACCCTCCCCAAGGGAAAGAGTTTATTTTTTTTAAGACAGAAATGCCCTTCATGTACACATAAATCAATTTGGCCAGATTTGACGATGACTTTTGGAGCTTATTACCGGAGCGAACCATCGCAGTGCCAGAGCGCATAATCTATTGCCGGAGCACGCATACACAGTGTTGGAGCGTTGTGACTCCAGATTACACTACTGGAGCGCACTTACACAGTGTCGGAGCGCATGATCCACTGATGGAGCGCAAATAGACAGTGTCGAAGTGTTGTGACTCCAAAGTGTTGCACTGCCAGAGCGCTTACACAGTGCCGAAACGCATCATCTATTGCCAGAGTGTTGTGACTCCAGATTCCACTGTCGGAGTGCACTTACACAGTATCGGAGTGCATAATCTACTGCCGAAGAGGACATAGATAGTGCCTGAGCACTGTGACTCTAGAGTGTTGCACTGCCAGAGCGCACAGCTACTGCCAAAGCTCACATACACAGTGTCAGAGCGTTGTGACTCTATATTCCATTGCATGAGCGTACTTACACAGTGCCGAAGTGCATGATGCACTGTCGAAGCTCACATAGATAATGCCGGAGTGTTGTGACTCCAGAATGTTTCACTGTCGGAGCGTACTTACACAGAAGAGAGAGAGGCGTAAGTAAGGTAAAAGTAAGGGAGGGTAGTTTATGTATATTTTTTATTTTTTATTTGGTTGGCGGGGTTATTTGCATAGAAAGTGTATTTTGGGGGAAAAAAATGAGAAAAAAAGTTAAGGTGGGGGTAAGTTGCATAGAAAGTGTAGTCCTCGGGGTTTTTTTTGTAATTTTCCCTGCTTTTAATTGTTGAAGGTTGTTTCAACAGTTAACCAACCCAATTTTAGATGGGCTTTGTTTTCAAAATCTAGGTTGGGGCCCCCTTAAAGGATCTTCTATTTAGGTGTATGTGTCACCAATTTTGCCCACTACACTTTGTTTTGGGTAAGTTTGCCCTACACTTGAGAAAGTAAAAGGAACTTTAGTAAGATAAGGATTTACTAATACAATGAAAAAAATGAATACATATATTGTTCATTTCATGATGGAAACTCTTAGTCAAATCAAGGGAACAAATATTTTGTTGTTTTGCTGATCATTGTTTAATCTGAAGAAAAGATGAATTGATAGTGTGAGAATCACTTTATCAAAGGGACCTCTACTTTTCTCTTGCTAATTGAAACATGATCAAGAGTTATGCAAGGCCCAGGCTTACAATAAAAATTAAAATAGCACCTTGAAATCCCACAGGAAAACATAGTTGGACACTAGAAAATTATTTTGTCCTTTCCAGTAATGAAAAAAAGAAAAAAAAGGATTTGTAGTCCTAAACATAGTACATCTTTTAACTGGCAGTGGCAATGGACCCAGACATAACCCGGTCCAGGTATAGGTCCCAAGCTTGGACCCGACACTATTGGGGTCCAGCTCTGGGTCTAGGTCTGGTAATATTTTTCAGATCCTCATATATAAAATATTTTTAAATACATAAATTTTTTAATTTTTGGGTCGGATCCATATCCGTTTGGACCCAACCCAACCCGTTACCACCCTAGTTATAACACATTATTCATACTTTTTATTTTCAAGTATTTATAAATCGGCCAGCTATGCAGTAATTTTGGAGCTTTTAACTTCATAATCAAGGATCGAAATATTCTTTTAAGTCATCATAGGATTCCAGCACTGTAACTATATTTTCTAACAAGATTGTGAGGTACAGCTTTAATTTTTGGCACGATGCTTAGTCCTTATGCAAACCAGATTATTGAAAGATTATTACTAAATCCTAAAATGAACTTTTTTGGGAAAATAAATCCTAAAATGAACTGAAAGTCTACAATCATTACTGTATGAGCAAGCAACCACGAATGTCAAATTAAAGGTCCCATAGGTGGTTGAGTTGTTTCAATCACTCTGATTGAGATTCTACTGCAATTTGTTATTGAGATTAAGATAAAGTAATAAGAATGTATACTCCAGCTAGAGCACATCTTGCATTTATTCAATAAGGTAAGAAGACCCCAGAATTTCAGAATATAATCTCATCTAAGCTACCAACAAAAAAAAAAAACACTTCAAATGAATGTGCTAAGTGAAAATTTAGTCCTATGACCATACAAAGAGTGTACAATTTTTAGGCTAGTGATAAGTGTTTTAAAAAGTCAATTTTTTTTTTTATAATAAAAATTAGGAAATTTATAAAAAAAAATCCATTTTTTTACGTTATTAGAAATAAACTCCAAAATTTTCAAAACTTCATCCATGCCCCTTTTCACCATATTTGTGTTTATTATTATTATTATTATTCTGAAAATACCCTTCATAATAGTATTAGGCCCGTAAAGGTATCACGGTTAACCCATAACCATGATGGTCGAGGAGGGTTCAAACATTGCTGGCGTGGGGCTTAAGTCATCACAGATCTATTAGGATAGTGACGATGGGGCAACATTAGAACCATCACTTACAAGACCGTGATGATCACCTTGACTATTACGGATCTCGCACCACCATGATACCCTTCATGGAAATCTATCACCCGTCACATACTTTTATTTCGAAAATATAATACTATCACAGTTTAATTAAAACTGCGATAGTTGAATAATCCATCACCGTGCTTCAAGTGTCGTGATCCTTCAAATATGGTTCTACTAGAACTGTGATGATTTAAATCCACGACAAAGTCACTAAAAACCCACCATGACCATCACGGTCTTTGGTTAACCATGATACCTTCATGGACCTAAAATTACTATGAGGGGTTCTTTCATAATAAAAGAATACAAATAGTGGTGAAAAGAATCTTGAATAAGGTTTTGAAAATTTAAGGTTTATTTCTATTAATCTGAAGAAAAAAAATGAACTCTTTATAATTTCCCTAAAAACTATTATAGTAATACTCATTCGGTGATTCTAAAGTGGATATCAAAATTTGCAATGATGAGAACACTATAGGTCCTTTATAGGAGGTAGAAAGTTTGTAGCGGATTCCCATGGGAGCACTCCACATGCATTTATAATATTTTTTCGATGTTGTTTATATAAGGCGGCAACCTTACTTATAAAAGTAAAGATGTGAAGGTTCACGCCATCGGTTTTAGTTAGACAATATAGATTTAATGAATATCTTAAAAATTGTAAAAAAAACCATCGTACTTATAAAAGTAAAGATGTGAAGGTTTATGCCATCTATTTTAGTTAAACGATAAAATAGTCTAAAAAAGTAGCATGTTTTTAAGATAGTATTAAATCTATACCGTCCAAAATAAAATAGACACTATAGATTGCAACAACCTTCTACACTTAAGGTTGCAATCTTATACAAACTTTTTACTTTTTCCATTTTGGGTAATTCAGTTGGGAATACAGACGCCTACCCATTTTCTAATAGATTGGGGAGTTACATTTGAAGATGTTATACTTGAAGGTGTCAATAGTAAGACTGGACACCATGATGCCGTAACTAGGTGTGGGGATACTACCCACCGTGACCCAGCCCCTTTCTTACTTTTTACTCCATTTTTTTCTAATACAAATGATACACTACGGGTTTCTAATCATTTGATATCTATTTTTTCAAATAGTACGGTTGGTTTTTGATAGAATTCACCCACCTAAAATTCATCTTTTTCTAAAAAGAATACTAATCCACTCTCCTAAAATCTATCTTGAAGATGGGATTCAAATCTATATGATCAGGAATGCACCCTTCTAAAACCCTTAAAAACCAAACGCATGAATCATTGAACCCATTAAAAAACTAGATTTCCTTCTCAATTGATCTATCAAAAGGGTCGTAACCTGATGCTAGTCATGCCTATGTAGGGTCCCGAAAGGGATGAGAAAGTAGATTTTTTTTTGGTAGATCAATGAGGAAATGTCCCCTTCCTAAAATAGAAATAGAACTCTAATCATTATGTTGTAGCAACCACCCTGATTACTTATGCCTTGGGTCCATTCCTAAAAAGGTGCATTTGTAAAGAGTTGAGGCTCTTAACAATCAAAGTAAAATGCACTTTCAAATAGTATCGAGAAATGTGGTTTCAATACTAAAAATCTTTGTGACATCCTTAAAATATATTTTTATATTTAATTATAAAATTTAAAGCTTCAAAAATAATATAGATCGAGGAAATCTATAAAAACTTGAAAATTGACCACCAAAAAATGCATTACAAGATGCAGTATTTCTAAAATTTGAAATTTTTTTTTTTTTCTTATGTACATGCATCATGATGTCGAGATGATCAATTTGAAGATATTTAGACATCAAAACATAAAAAAAATTTGGATGGGTTCTAATTTGATTGTTTAGAGCGCAGCTCTATATCCTAAATCCTTGAAGCTGATATTACCCATCAACCCTAAGTGCACCACTTGCCCTTGCAGTCATGACTATGCATTTGGTCTATCAGTCCTTCTAGGGCAGCAAACAACCTTGAATGAGAGAGAGAGAGAGTGTATGAGAGAGAAGATCATTTTATGTTTGTGTACAAGAGAGAGAGGATGTCCATGTCTCACATGGTCAAGTAAAACCCAAGCTTGTATAAGTTCAATGTATAAGCAAGAAGCATGAAACATTCATCCATGTAGAGAGAGAGAGAGAGAGAATTTGCCCATTTCAACTCACATATCAAGCAGTCCCAAACTCTAAAATCCTATTGTAACCACATGACAAAAAAATAAAATAAAATCTATGAGTGGGAGAGAATTTTTGCCAATGTCAAACTCACATTAACTACAAACTATAAATGTATTGTAGGTTAATTTAGAGAGAGAAGATTAATGAGCATTTAGAGAGAGAGAGAGAGATTATTTAGGGGCATTTGGGTCCTCCCCTCTTGGTCTTCCAGTCATTGTAGCAAGCACAAACCTGCTTGTTGCCATAGAAGCCAGGGGGCACACAGAGACATTTCCTGCAACACTTTTGGCAAAAGAACATGCATGGCTTGTGATACTGTGTCTTTGAACATCTCCATGAGCAAGCATTAGGGCACTCTGCATCCATAGAATTAAGGAAAAATATTTTAACAAAAATTAATCCCCATTCCAATTAATTAGGATTGATTGAGAAAATTGCACTAAATTAGGCAGCAATTTTAATTTGGTCAAGATTTCTATGTCTCTTCACATGTACTTCGTGTATGGTAAGAGATATATAATATCATGTAATTATTGATTTGATGGTTGGAAGTGTGCTGACAACAATGCAACATTGTTTGTAACCTTCCAAACGAAACTAGCACCAACTTATAACATTATTCGCGGCTGTCTTTATTTAACCATATATAATACTCATCAGTTTGTTTATCCGTCTCCAATAAATAATGAGATGAGTAGGATACTTTTCAAATGACAAAAATACTTTTATAGAGGTAACTAAACCCAACCCGTTATGTCGATGCGGCAAGTAACTGCACAAGCATAATCTTGACATTTTTGTCATGCAATGAGACTTTAATCTGAAAATGCGGTTGGGTCGTGATGCTAGTACCACTTATACTCCTGTCAAAGTCTAGATTTTCATTTTCACCTAACTCATTAAAAAACGACTAACCATATAAAAAAAAAAACAAATAAAGGCGCATCGTCCCCACTGTATTACCCAAAAAAATGAGAATTCGACCTCGACCCAATCCAACCCGCCAAGTCCATATGGCGGGTCTAGAATCCGACAAGTGTAGGCAGTCTAACCAACCAGATAAGCACCCTTATGCGTTCACAAACAGCAACAATAAGATATTGTAGTCACACATGGAGAGGGAGAAAGAGAGAGAGTATTACGGTAACTTCTCAAGCTTCCTGGACCATATTTCCCCTGAAAGAGAAAAACCCAACAATTAAAAACCAGCTTCATTAAATAAATAATAAACAATAAAGAAGAAAACTCAGTCTATCTAAAATAAAACAAAAAAAAAGAAAAAAGAAAACCTTGTGAACTTTCTTGGTTAGTTGTTCTCTCTCCTCAGGTGCAAACTGCAAAAAACCCCAAAAAAAATTTAAAAAAAAAATATTGAAAAGAGCAATAACATGAAAGCATCATAACATTTTCATCGGTTATGTCACATTTTGCTGAATTTTTCATATTTTACAAAAATTACCTCTGAAGTTGCAATGAAAAATAGGAAGAGGAGGAAAAGAAGGCCTAGAGAGAAAAACTTCGCCATGACTGCAAGTCCACACCAACCTTCTAAGTTCTAATAAACCCTAGTGGTATTTATAGGTTTTTTTTCTTTTTTTTTATTTTGATGTACCAGTATCATACCTATTAATTTCTTGATATTTTTCAGAAAAACACTAAATTTTCTTGCAGAGATTCATGTGCCCCGCTGAGGGCGCACACTGCTCGAAAAGTCGGCGCGCTTTGGCTGGTCGCCGCTGTTTGCCACGTGGTTCAAGAACATTGGTCAAATATTTGCAGTCCTTCTGAACTTCTTTTGACCAAATGAATATCTCAGTGTACCAAGACTAAGTAAATGCTAATTTCATTCACAATAAATTCGTGATGCGTGTTCATGCTATCATTGTTTCTTCATTATTATCATGGAAAAAGTTTATACAAGGATGCTACCTTATAATATAGAACTTGGATGCCCCTCAAAAGTCCATCACAAAATATAGTTTTAATGTTGAAAAACCGATATATGATTATGAAAAATAAAAAAAATTTAAAACTAAAAAATAGTACATTTTACAACGTATTATCTACACTATCTATTTTGAAGATTTTTATATATTTATATATCTATTTGATTTTAACCATTTTTGAAATTTAAAATTTTATAATTAGATATAAAAATTGATTTTGAGATAATCCTAAGAATATTTTTCATCAAAATTATATATTATGATAAGAAATGCACCTTACCTCTACACCTAAGGATGCATATGTATGCCAATTGCACCCTATTATCATTAACTTCTATTTTATTGAGGACATTTGTTAACATATTTTCGACGTGTTAAGGAATTTGGTAATTTTTATATGGTGACTTTGGGTGGCAATGGGTCAGGTCAGGTTCGGGTCCGGCTGGACCCTGACCAAAAAAAAATTTTGGTATCCAAACCCGACTTGACCCAGACCCGATTGGATCCAACCCAAAATAACAAATGTATATTTAAATATATTAAAATATTATGTTAAAAATACATGAATTATTTAAGGAAAATTGTCCAGCCACTTTGTATGCAGTCCAAAAATGTAAGCATCCACCTTAAAGATGGATGATAGGTGTTCCATCTAAAAACAATGGAAACTAACGGTCCAAATGTTTTCTTACAATATTGTTATTTCTAATTATAAAAATTTACTTATTTTTTCATATTCAAGTTCTACATGTTAGAGATTACATATGCGGGCTTGGCCGCATAGAAACTAGGTCCATTATTTAAAGGGTACAGTTTATATAGAGTCAAGACTCTAAACAATCAAAGTAGAGCACACCTTCAAATAGCATTGAGAAATGTGGTTTCAATACTAGAAATATTTGTGATAGCCTTAAATATATTTTTATCTCCAATTATTAATTTAAAGTTCAGAAAATAATGTAAATCACGCAGATCGATGAGAACTTGATAATTTTGAAAATTAACGGTCCATTATTTAAAGGGTACAATTTATATAGCGTCCAGACTCTAAACAATCAAAGTAGAGCACATCTTCAAATAGCGTTGAGAAATGTGGTTTCAATCCTTTATTTTCTCATGTCTATGCATCTTGATGTCAAGATGATCAATTTGGGGATATTTGGGCATCAAAACAACCTCTTCTAGTGAAATTTTTGAGGTACACTCTAATTTGATTGTTTAGAGGTTCGGCTCGGTATAAAATTTTTCCTTATTTAAATATTATAATTAAAAATATATAGTTATATTTATTTAAATATTTTTTAAATACTAACATTATTTGGGTATAGTCAGGTCTGTGTGGACCCGGACCCGAAGAGCGTTCGAGTCCAATTTTTTTACTCATACCCAGACATGACCTAGGTCCGGGTCCATTGCCACCCCTGACTTTACATTGGTAATTGTATATTAAGTCTATATAAGATGTTACCATAAGACATCTAAGAAAATCATCTAACAAAAAAGTGTTTTAATGGTAGAAATCTTTCCAATTGATTGATTACCTCAACTTCATATCGTATGGATATGACGGAAAAAAAAATTGAAGTCCTAAAATAATGCGTCTGGTAATATGTTATCTGGACCGTCTATTTTAAAAATTTTAAAGTGTTTATAGATTTGCTTGATTTATATTATTTTTGAAATTTTAAATTTCATAACTTAGGAGGCTAATAGATTATCAAATTATTATAAGATTTCCGACATCATAACTACGTCTCTAGGCAAAGTTTAGAAATACGCTTTACTTGTACAGTATAGACGGCTTATATAAACCTCGCCCATTAAATAAAGAGATGTCTTTAGTGTGAACTTAGACAACAAAAGCTTGATTCATCATCATCCATTTGATCAAGATTTGTGATAGAGCTATGCAGCTTTAGTGATCATGGTGCCGGAAAACCTTCAATGGTGAAAATTTTTAGGAGGCATAATTTTTGTAAAATGCAAGTACTCGAGGTTTAACCAATCATAATAACTTGATTATTTTTAGATAATAGTATTTAATAGGTAATATATTAAATTATGGGATTCATTTAGATGAATTCTCTAATGTTCAAATCAGATTCAGATATCTATATGTATATAGTTAAACATGGATATATAGATAATGTTAGTTACTTTCCATCCCCTTAAATTAAATAAAGGTAGGTTTAATTCAATTATTTCTAGCCAGTAAGTATTTAGCTAAACATAATTGATGTAACATAAAAGGAGATGTCTGTAATAGATTGGGACTAGTTGATTTGTGTTTTATAATGTTGAAGGGAAAGTTTTATAGGACAGTTATGAGACCAGTTTTGTTTTATTAGGCAGAATGTTGGGCAGACAAAAAACAATAAACCAATAGAATGAGCGTAGCGGATATAATGATATTGAGATGGATAAGTGGCGAGATAATAAGAGATAGAAGTCCAAATAAATAAATTAGGAAAAATTTAGGTGTGGCCCAATAAGTAATAAGATGAGATGGAGCAGACTTAGGTGGTTGGCAGACCCAATACAACACCTATTAGGTGTTACAAATTAGTTCAAGTGGAAGGCTAAAAAATAGGTCTAAAAAGGCATGTTTGGAAGTGGTCAGAAAATATATGGGGACTTGGCCTCATTGAGGATATGGCCCTTAATAGAGTAAAATGACGGATCATGATTCGTGTAGTCGAGCTCAATTAGTCGGGAAAAGCTTTGACGATGATGAACGTTGATGGGTGCTACAAAAAAAAAATGGTGTTCAAGAAAACAAAAGAAAAAGGTTTGGGTGAAAAATAGGCAAACTAGAGCATGAAAATAGGAAAATTAATAATTAAAAAATATTTTTAAAATATAATAATTTAGTATTGTTAAAGAGCAAATTTTTTAAAATTAAAGCTCCATTCTATGCTATATTCAAAAGTAGGAAAATGTTTCTATACTTCTCCTACAACATAGAAGATCTATGCTTCCCCTAACTTCCAGCCGTCCAATTTTGATCAAAAGAGCCACTCACCGTTTGATCTTATCTGACATCTCAAAGTATTTTATTTTTAACTTTTTTTATACAAATTGTATGAATATAAAATTTTTTATGTGTCATCTTCTCATTAGGGTGCACCTATAAAAAATATTAAAAATAAATGTTTGAAAAAATATAATGACCAAAATACCCCTTGAATCTTTCAGGGGTATTTTGGTCATTTATTTTTATTGAAAATATTTTTTTATATTTTTAGTTAGTGCAAGTTTAATAGAGGATTAGACGTAAAAAATTTGGTGCCAAAATAGTTTACAAAACAAAAATAAATAAATAAAATAGTATAGAGACGTGACATTGTGATTGGAGCAATTTTATCCCTCTATTCAGAATGGATGGTTGGATAAAGGAAAGTATATAAGTTTCATGTTGCAGGGAAGCATAGAGAAGTTGCCCTTAAAAGTATGCCATTTTCTTTTCATCTCTCGGTATCATACTGTTGTCAAATAAAATAAATGTAAGGGCTATTGTTGAAGACTATGTTAGTGGCCATAGGCAAGAGGTAGAGAGATAGACTACCACAGGAATTTGACCTATTGGCTTCACTGGGCATATGGGCCTTGGCGTGCAGCGGGTCGGGTTTAAGTCCGATTGGACCCAATCTAAAAATAAATAAATAAAATATATTTGAATATTATATTAAAGGGAAAGTTTATATAGAGCCGAGGCTCAAAACAATCAAATTAGCGTGTACATCAAAATTTTCACTAGAGGAGGTTGTTTTGATGCGTAAACATTCTCAAATTGATCATCTCATCATCAAGATGCATGGACTTGAGAAAAAAAAAGATAGTAAGTTTTGGATATAGTGTATTTTGTAACACATTTATGGACCATCAATTTTCAAGATTTTCACATTTTCATAGATTGGTCGATCTACACTATTTTTGAAGCTTTAAACTTTATAAATAAAGATGACAATATATTTTAAGGCTATCACAAAGATTTCCAGTATTGAAAACCACATATCTCTAGACTATTTGAAGGTAGGCTCTAATTTGATTGTTTAAAGCCTAGGCTCTATACAAACTGCACCGTTTATTAAATATATACATGTATTATTTAAATAGTATAACTAAAAATATATAAATATTATGAAAATGTTATGTATTAAATATTATTTAAATAATAACACTATTAGGGTCGGGTCCACATGAACCTTGGACTGAATACTGTTCAGGTCCAATGTTTGGACCCTAACCTGACCCATCGGATCCAATTTTTAGATCCATACCCATATACCCGGTTCGGGTCCAGGTTCATTGCCACCCCTAGAAGGCCCACACTACTAAAACTAAAAAGATTGTATGGTCCTGCATGAGCAAAAATGTCCATTTGCTCCCTTAGACAAAACCATGCCTAGGACAATTTTTAGGATCCGAATTTGGGATGTGACCTACTCAACCTAAGGATTAATATTATTACATGGATATGCCTAAAAAACTTCACCCCCTATGATTGCACACAGACGATCCATTTTTTGGATAGTTAGATCTTAGATAATTGGGTGGTCAATTTTTTTTCCTTTTTGTTTTTGTTGCTTTATGAAAATACTAAATTAGTTTTTTCAAAGTAAATCCCACATAAATCATGTCTAGGGAACAATTTCAAACTTTACTCCTGTAGAGCATAATATATAAATAACGGTAGAGCGTAAGAGCATACTGTAAAAAAAATCCCTCAAACAAATGGATAGAAGTTTTAAGATCCATCTATATATCACCAAATGATTATTTTCAAGAAAAAAAATTGGATTTGAAGTTGTTGAACATCTCGATCATGCCTTCCAAAAATTGGATGATTCTTGTTCAATATTGAAACATTGCTTTTTTGAGGCACATAAAGAGATCAATTTATTTATTTATTTATTTTTAAGGTGGTTGTTAGGCACATAGAGATCAATTTATTTTTAAGGTGGTTGTTAGGCACATATAGAGAGATCAATTTTTAAGGTGGTTGTTGGGGTCCAAAAAATATTCCAATTATGAGTTTTACCTCAGAAGTACATGCAAAATATACTCCCACAGTAGAAGCAAACCTTTTCACTTATTGGAAGGCACGAATCTCAATTTCTTAATCACCAAATCAAGGGCTTGAATCCGTTTTTAAGATACAACCTCATGCTTGGAAAGGTGATGCCTTTGAATTCTAATATGATAAGGAAAAAGTCTATATGGAGCCTAAGCTCTAAACAATCAAATTAGAGCCTACATTAAATTTTTCATCAGAAGAGATTGTTTTGATGCTCAAATATCCTCAAATTGATCATCTCGACATCAAGATGCATGGACTTGAGAAAAAAAATGGATTTTAAGTTTTGAAAATAGTGCATCTTGTAACTTATTTTTGGATCGTCAATTTTCAAGTTATTTAAGTTTCGATAGATTTACTCGATCTACACTATTTTTTATTCTTTAAATTAAAAATAAAAATATATTTTAAAGCTAGTCAAAGATTTTCAATATTGCAACCACATTTCTCGACACCATTTGAAGGTGGGCTCTAATTTGATTGTTTAGAGCATTGGGGCAATACAAACTACATCCATATGATAAATAGAGTTAAGATTCACTAAATTATCAGAATTCAAGTTCACGGATATAGATACAAAATCACCTCGAGTGATATAAGAATCGGACGTTTGTACGATACAGAAACACCTCCGATGATTTAGAAATGAGATTGTATCATTGTATATAATGAGACTATTTACCTTTGATACAAATTGGTCACAATTACTATAACAATCCAATGTAAACTTTGATAACTTAAGTACGTTACTAAATTCGAGAAAGTTTCTTTTGAAGTTTGAGCTTAGTGAACGAAATAAATGCAGCCATATAATTCCACATCCAAAACTCAAGGTTAATTGTGACCAACTTGTACCAAAGATAAATGGTCTCATTGTATAACTTTTATTCATAAATATATTAACATACTCAAAAGTTTTGTTTCAATTCAAAAAATATACTCTACAAGGGCTTGTAAAAATAAACGAGATTGTATATAATGAGACTGTTACCTTTTGCACAAGTGACAAGTACCTAAAATTGTCAAATGCTGAATGGACGATAGACGTGCTATTCTTAAGCACAAGATATGAAAAGCTTCTCAGGATTCGAGCCTAATCAGTGGTACATCCTCAATTATTCGCTTTCACATCTGACAGCTAAAATTGATTGTAACCTTTTTACATGCAAGATAAATAGTGGGAACAATTGTAGGTAGGAATACTAAAAAGGTCTAGGCTTCTTTTTCTTTTTCTTTTTTTATTGGGTGGAGAAAGCAGAAATGTCGATTGGAATAGCGGCCACTTATAATAATGATAAAGATGATAATGTTGCTAATGTGTTTAAAGGAGGTATAATATCACTTCCAAAAGGTTAGAAAAAAGATAAATCTCCGTTAAAGTTAAACACCGCGCTACTAACTAAAGGAGTAAAAAGTCAAAGCTTTTATAAACCCTAAATATCTCTTTTACCTCTCAAAGACCACACAAAAAAATTCAATGACAGGGTTTGGCAACTTCGGCGGTGTTCAATGTGATGTACTTGTGTAACCCTCAAACCAAGGTGAAGAAGGCTTTAATGTGGTTCTTCCGTATATGGGTCCGCTTGGGGTGCGGACTGTTAATTATGCCGAACTCTTTGCTGTTCTTTTTGGGCTGTGAGTTATTGTGGAGAGGAAGTTGGGGCATGATTTCATCATAGAGGGGAACTCCATTAGTGTGATTATATGGTGCCAAAAAGAACAATTGATTCTTTGGTAGTTCAAACCTATGCTGTTGCAGATCTTGGATCTTTCTTCCTCCCTTTCGATCTCTTTGTTTCATGTTTATAGAGAGGCTAATGTATTAGTAGATATCTTGCCAAATGTGGTACTTCGTTTTTTGACGTATCCATTTTGGACTCCGTAATTTCATTCTAGAGTAATTAAATTTTTGAACCTTCTATCAAAAAAAAGAAGGCTTCAATGACTTGGCTTAGACTTAAAGAGAAACTTTGTTTGTTGAGGAACTTAATTGAACCTTGATGGGTGCAACAAATTATTTCCTTGTAGAATAAGAAAAGGTACCACCCACCCAAGGCATTTTGGCCATAAATATGGTCATTAGTTACTAAGTCATGCAAAATTCATAATATTAAGAAAATACTTTTTTGTTAATAGTACATTGAATTTTGATTACATATAAAGAATTATAATGCATCATCATCATTTTATTAATAGTACATTGAATTTTGATTACATATAAAGAATTATAATGCATCATCATCATTTTATTAATAGTACATTGAATTTTGATTACATATAAAGAATTATAATGCATCATCATCATCCAAGCTTTATCTCAATTAGATGAAGAATATCATGTATATAGGCTAAATTTTATTTTATTTTTCAAATTATATTATAAAAAGGTTCCAAAAATCAGAATTAGGCTTCGACTCGCTAGTTGGTCCCATTCTAATTTGCTTAGTCTGACTTAGGCAATTCTTAGGTCGAACAGGGCCATATTCGACAATAAATACGTAAAAGTACTAGAGAACTAAGAAATTATATGATTTTGAAGGTTTTCTAATCAGATCCGACTCGAGCGATTCTATAGATAAACATGCAATTCGAAACTAATGAGCAACACCCTTTTGGCCATTTATTTATCAAAAACAGTGTTTTCACTCATGATAAAAAATATCAATTTTCACTAACAGTATTCTCACTACAAAATATTATACCCATTTGAATTGAAATAGAGTTCAATAAAAATTATGCTTCCATACTACTTTTTTTCTCTCTAAAAGCTACACACCTCAAAATATCATGGAAAAACTCCCACCCAAAAACCCCAAAAATAAAAAGAACCATGAAATCCAAAGAAACCCGCTTGAAAGTAAAGACAATTACCTCTAAATCATGGTTTTTAATTCAGCCCTTTGGAGCAACAATATTAAGTTCAGCCTTTTCTTTTGGAGAGAGGACACTAAGGGGTCAAATTTACAAGGAGAAAAAAGGCCCCGGTTTGAAAAGGTACATCTATTTTACAGAGAAATTCTTTATTTTATAGAGATTAGAGATGAAGGGTTGGTAAGAGGTCTCTACAAATTTGAGGTTTGTGTTCTTGGTGGCACAAGCTGACCAAGTAGAGAGATTGGGCTTTTTAGGTTTGCAATTAGAGAGAGAGGGTCTATCACAAACCTTTTGATGATATAAAAATCTAATTTTGCTCTTAATTATAAAATTTAAAGTTCTATAAATGGTGATGATCAAGCAATCTATAAACACTTGAAAATCTTAAAAATAAACTGTCTAGATAACGTGTTAGAAGATGAGCTATTTTTAAGATTAGAAATCCATTTTTTCATGTCTATGAATCTTGAAGTCGAAATGATCAATTTGAAGGTTTTTCATAATAGGAACAACTTTCTCTAATGGTTTTTTAAGTGCACCTTACTTATACAATATAAGATTAACACCTTGTATAAATTTTTTCTCTAATGTGATAAGTCTCCCTCTCTCTCTCTCTGTCTGCGCACCCAAAAAGCAGATTCTTTTGGCTCTTACTTTTTGAAAAAGTTCATAAGGTTGCAACTTTAAAATATAGAATTAAGGTGCACTGAAAAAATCCATTGAAAAAATATTGTTTTGATGTTAGGAAACCCTCTAATTGATCATCTCAACATCGAAATACATGAATATAAAAGATAAATAAAAAAATTTGAGCCTAAAAAATAATGCATCTTGTAACATTTGGAATGTCCATTTTTAAAATTTACTCATGTGTTTATACATCTGCTTGATTTGAACCATTTTTAGAGTTTAAATTTTGTAATTAAAGAGAAACATAGATTTTCAATTCATCACAAATACTTTGAGCAATAAAACTACATATTATAACAAATTTTAGATATTTTCCATCATTTGAGGTTCCAATCTTATGCAAACTGCACCTTATTTGTGGATGAAGTTTCTATAGGGCTCATCTTTATAAAAACAAAATAAAGCCTCACATCTAATCCAAGTCTTGAAAGCATTTTTGGTAAATAGATCTAAATTAATTTCCAACACTGCTAATAAAATAAAAAACTCAAAAAATGGTACAAATTTTGTTGATCTATAAATAACTAATTTTAAGGTGAAATGTACAGCCTAGATAATTTGTTACAATATATACATTTTTTAAAGCTTAAAATCCTAATTGTTTTTACAACTAATATGATCAAGTCGAGATGATCGATGTACAGATTTTCCAATGCTTGAATTGTACTCTTTTTTTTTTTTTTAAATGAATTATGAGGAGAGCCTTTACTTATTTTGAGTGGTTTGCAGCCCCATCAAATTACTTTCCCTTACTTTTTGTTAGTTTCTACTGGAAAAAAGTAATTCAAACTAGGAAACTGCCCGCTTCCTCAGATGGAACCGAACCTCACTCGCAAACAAGAGATTTTCACGAATCACCATGTAAACATATTGACTCCCTCTCCCTCTCTTTCTCTTTCTCTCTCAAACCCACCACCCCATAATAAGTTTATCTTATTTTTCATATATTTTTCCCATTTTTTCATTGTTTGACTTCAATCTGCTTTGAAAAGATTTGTATGGCTTTTTCTGATCAATGTGATTCTTATTGATCACTTCTGACTTCTCATTAGATTTCTTTAATACCCATTACCAGAAGTCTCTCTCTCTTTCCCACCACTTGGGTTGGTGTTTCTGTGCCTTTCATGTTTGGTTATCAGTTCTTTTCGGGATTAGACTCATGTGACGGGAATCCTCATTGCACCAGAGAAGTAGCTGATTTTGATATATTTTTGTATTGGTGATTACTTCTTTTTTCTATTATCTCTCTCACATCACCAGATGTGAACTCATTCTAGCTAGAATGTCACAAAATTTGATCTTTTTGTTCATAGCCCAACTATTTGATTCTATGTTGTATGGGTTCTTGTCATATTAATTTTGGCAAACCCATTTTGGTATTTCTTTCACATTCTTAGAGCTGTGAATGATGAATATAAGCTGATCTCTCTACCATGATTTAAAAACCAGAACTTTGCATCAACTTTCCATGTTGATATCCTTTACCCATTTGTAAATGGGGCCTCCTATCAGTTTAGAAAAGTTGGGTCTCTTATAGACTGTAGTTTTCATTGATTCTTATTTAATTCAACTCTTTCTTCTTCTTCCCTTTTGGAGATTATTGGATGTAGGGACTAGGATTTACATTGCTAAAGCTTGATGTATTCTGATATAGAACTGCAATGGCCGATAGGAATTCCCATTCCAATGGGTTCGAATCGAGAAGACCCCTTTTCTGCTTCTTCACCATTGTCACGTCCTTCTTCGTATTCTCGTGGTTCTTCTTCCTTCGTTCCACTAGTCTCCCCCACCTTCTCAACCACCCCTCTTTGCTCAACCAAAAACCCATCTCTAATAATGTAAAAGAGACTGAATTCCCCTACCATTCTGGTGAAAACGAGGCCCAACAACAAGGAACTAGCGAAAAATGCACCACCAACAATGCCATTATTCGTGTTTTCATGTATGATTTACCCCCTGAATTCCACTTTGGCCTCTTGGATTGGAAGGGCGAAGAGGAAAGTGGCAAAATTTGGCCTGACCTCTCGAAGATACCCGAGTACCCTGGTGGCCTTAACCTACAACATAGTATTGAATTTTGGCTCACACTAGACCTCTTAGCTTCTCGGTTTCCAGGCCGAAAAGGCCCTTGTGTTGCAATAAGAGTTGATAACTCCAGCCAAGCCGATATAATCTTTGTGCCCTTCTTCTCTTCTTTGAGTTATAATAGGCATTCAAAGGTTAAGCCTCCTGAGAAATTGAGTAGAAACAAGATCTTGCAGGAAAATTTGATTCAATTCTTGAGCAAGAAAGACGAGTGGAAGAGGTCAGGGGGGCGAGACCACGTGATAGTAGCCCATCATCCAAATAGCATGCTCGATGCGAGGATCAGTCTTAGGCCTGCCATGTTCATTTTAGCAGATTTTGGGAGGTATCTCCAACAGGTAGCTAATGTTGAGAAGGATGTCATAGCTCCTTACAAGCATGTCATCAAGAGCTTTGTCAATGACACATCCACCTTTGCAAGTCGACCAATATTGTTATATTTTCAGGGAGCAATTTACAGGAAAGATGTGAGTGTTCATGTTGTTCATTTAGTTGCTTATGCTCTCTCTCTCTCTCT